GTCTGGGGCCTGTGCGTTGAAATGGGGGAGGCCACAAGAGTGGGAGGCCCCCGTACCGCCAAAAAAAAAAAAAAAAAGAGGGCAGGATAAGACTATCTTTTTTTAAAATCACCAATTAAAGCTACTTTTTAAGAAAGAGGTAAAATGGGTTCTTCTTAAGGCAAGGCCTATCCTCCATCTTCACACAACTCCAGCATTTAGCCAGAGATTTCAATTTCCTAATAGAGGAATAAAAATAGAGCAAACGACATTTTTACTTAACATTCCTAAATAGATCTGAAACAACAAAAAGAGGAATCCAATAAACCAACTGCATATACTCTCAATGCTAAAACACAAATGATTTCAAGAAGGTAATTTTTTACAGACTCTAGCACTGCAATGTTAAATAAATGAGGTTTTTACTCACAGAACAGGGATGAATATAATAAAGCACTGTTTCCAAAATTATATTTTACAAGAGCCTTCTACTCTAAGCCTAATACTAACTCAACCCACTTTGATTTTGCTAGCTCCTTGGTTTCATTAAGTTCAAGAAACATACATATGACTGGTACCAAAAACACCAGTCCTCATAGGAAAAACAGTAAATTAGGGAAAGTATTTAAGAATACATCTTCCCTTTTGAAAAATGAAATTAAAAACCTAAGTCTTTTCTACATTAACAAAACCAGCCTAAAAGTCTGGAAATAACTGTAAAACTAACTCAAATTCAGTTCATCTAGTATTGTAGGTCATCAGAAGAGTTACTAAAAAATTTAAAAATTCAGGCAAGATAGACATCAAGAAAAAAAATAATGCCAACTTCTATATTTCTCTAAGTTTTACAACCCCCGTATCTGTATCCACTGGCCCAGCACCAGGTTACAACCCTTTGGAAAACATATATACAGTCCAACTTACCAATTGGTCTTTTCGCCGGGACAAATGCCTTCAGATTCTTCCCAGGGCGATTTGTTGTAGCGCTGGAGGAGGATGCCGTTTTGGAATTGGATGTTGAAGGCAACAGGGTACGTGGTTTCCTGGATGCAGCCACCTTGGCATTGGATGCTACCTTGGAGATGACAGTACTGAGGGTTGAGAGGTCCAGGACTGAGGGTCGCAACCTGCCTGTGATATAAGCAGCTAGCCTATTGGCTGGATGCAATGCCCCCATCTGTCCCAATAGCAACTTAGCCTGCGGGTAACTCTTACCATTAACCTGAAACAAGTGGCAAAGAGAAATTCTGTAAAGATAAAATTCTCTTGCTAACTCATCTCCCTTGACAAGGGTTTCATTTTTACAAGGTTTTAAAAGTCTGTTTTTCAGATTTAAAGGGAAAAAGAAATGGACTTTTTCCATTTGGTATAATCTGAGTATTTAGGAGATGAAAAAAAATGTTGCCATCTGATACTCTGAACTAATCTCATCTCCTTCATTTTGGTAGTTTGGAAACAGAGAATCTTAGAAACTCATCATACCTGCATCCTAGATATGTGGAAGATACAGTCAAATCTAAGGAACCATCCAATTGTTTTACTTGTCAACATGCAACTCTGGTTAAGCTATTAACAATCATCAGCAAAAAATATGAGTAACTGTGTTCCATGAAATCTCTCTGACAAGACCAGTGGCATGATGAACCCTTCTCATAAGCATCCTTCATATTTGAAAAATATATGGTGAGTCTACTTTAACTTATGAGAAGCCACGGTTACAAATACCTAAGCCACAAAGTCACCTTAGTTTTCAATTTTCAAGAAAACTCAACTTTGAAGATAATTGTCTTCATCTTTTGGACACAAATTGGACTCAAGATAAATGCTAGTTGAAACTCAGTAATTTTTAAAATTATCAATAAATTGTCAGAAGAAAGTGAATCAATGAATGAGGTAAAGATTTTTCTCTACTGCCTGAGTTGACAGACCACCCCATCTTAGGCATGAGAATCATTTTTTTTTTTTGAGAATCATTTTTTAAAAAAGAAAACAAAAACCTCCCAAGTTCTCTATGTCATATTGCTAAGTGACTAGAGGAGATATCCTTTCCTGTCTCTCTTTTCCATCATTTAAAGGGGTGAGGGAGTGGAGTGAGGTGGGGAAAATTCTACTCTCTAAATTAATAGGGAACTGGTGAGGAGAATAGCTACACCAAGCTTCTCTCTCTTCTAAGACACAAAATTACTCTTTGCTACTTAAGTAAAATTGTTATTATTTCCAGAAATATCAGGAATATCTTTGCCCCATGTTTGATACAAAGAATACGATCTTTCCATCCTAAAGTAAACTTTACTATATAGTCTTCCAGGTTCTGTGGAGTCTGGATCAGATACCCCTGTCTGCTCCTTTGGGACTTGCTCTGAACACTACTCAGCAGCTCCCCCAAAGCATACCTTATGACAGTGGCCTGACTGCTTATGCAGGTTCATATTTTACAGTGGCTTTCTGAGTCCTAGACAGGAGAACACAAAATTTCTATGACTCTATCTGAGGGGCGTCTTAGTCTCACTAGAAATGATCTCAGGTAATGATCTCTGTCTGTTCTCAAAGTGTCAATCAATAAATGAAACAGGGAGAAAACACTCTTCTCATCATTAAGAGTTTAAGAAATACCAACAGAAGCAGTTACATAGCAACTGCAACAGACAGTTTTTAATTAAGTAGATCAGTCGTAACAATGGAACAGTCCTTAGTCCAGAGAAGCAGTTGAGCTAGTAAAGTCAAGTAACCTTAGCAATAAAGTCAGACACTACCCCACATTTGGTACTATGATATAAAAGTGCATTTGATATGTCACTGAACAAAAAGAGAAAAGCTTTTTGACTGTGACTACATTTTACCTCAGAACTTTTCTTTCCAAAGGATTTTCTAATGCCAGTATAATTTTACTAATATACCTGCCTGAATTACTTAACAGCAAGGATATAGATATTTGCCCTACAACAATGATTAGACTGCAAAAACTCTATGAATCAAATAAAGAAAAAATACGTAAATTGTGGCTCATTTTTATATTTATGTATTTGAATAACACCATTCTAAATTAAAAATTTCTGCCAAGTTTCCAAACATATACTGCCTATCTTAAAAGTCAGTTTCACCTTGTTTTATTTTAAAAGCTGTCTGCTAATAATAATCCCAAGAACTAGACTGAATCCCTTACTATCCTTGCTTGACTGTCAAAATATCACTGCAGCCCAGGTAATACAGTTTAAGAGCAACTTTCTAGGAAGACTAGAAAGAAAACTATAAGCCAATACAGTACTCTACCTTTCCGTTTGTAAATGTGCCAAAAATTCACCCTAGGTATGCATCTAACCTAGGCCTATTACAAAAAGAGATAATGATTTTGTCACCCAGTTCCCAGGAAATGTGAAGATAAGTAATATAAGGCCCACAAAGGGTTCTGAAAAATCAAGGTGTTACCTAAGTATAAAAAGGTGCTACATCCAGATTAAAGATAATTCTCACCTGGATAAGCCCAGATGTGCTTGAACTGGGTTTACGTTTATAGGCCACAAGCTTCCCTGCAGGAGAAAGCCCTGCATAAAAGGGCAGACCTTTGCCTCCATGTAATCTCTCCCTCACTGAATCCAGGGCATCTGTCTGCACAGGAGAGATATCATCCATTTTCCCAGGGGATAATGGACCGTCAGGAGTCTCTGATCCAGATTTCTCAGCCATATCATCTTGGTCTTGACATGATGGCATAGAGATTTTCACACGAGAAGAATAAACAGGAGGATTCTTTTCACCCCGGCTCTTTCGCTGAGAAGCCAACTCAATGATGAAGCTGCCCACCTTAAGTGACTGTGGCATGTTGCTATTGATGTGCTGCGATAAGATGCTCAAAATCTTGTTCCGATCCTCCTCCCAGTTGCAGTCTGAGATGATTTCTATCAGTTTGGTGGGACCGCCAGGTGACCTCTGATGCACATAGGAGGTAGAAGAGGATTCCCCTTCATTGCAGGAAGACTTCCAGCTCTTTTCTGATGAAGAATTGAAAGATATTTCTGTATCACAGAATTCTGTACTGAACTTTGAAAAATTTTTATTTTTCCTGAGTTCTCAGAAAGTGCCAGGGGCATAGAAATTCAACAGTTGCCCAGTGTCCCATTCCCATGTACTTTCAGTGGTAATTTGACACTCATAATTTGGGAATTTTCCATGAAAAAAAAGATTCCAGATAATCAGACTATAAAATCTTCACTATTCTGCTCACTGGGCTCTCAATAAAAGGGAGTCCCTCTTAAGACTGCCCTAAAAAGCCATTAACTATTACCTAAGAAAGTATCACCTTGCAAACAAAGTATATAACCAAGGTTAGGCTTATTTGGGATAGTGTACTTGCTATCCATATGGGCAAAGCAAAGATACTTGCAAGATGCTTTGTAATATGTGATGGGTAAAGTCAACCCTAAAGAACAGCAGCAAGAGAGATGGTGTTTGGTTTAAAAAAAAAAAGTGAGCTCTATCTCTAGTTTCCACTGCAAATACTTCTGAATTACTTCTGTACCTCTAGATATGATTGCTCCACTTCTACATTTTATGCAAAACCACTCAAGTGTTTATATTCATGGCAACATATTAACTAAATGTATATCCACTAGCTAGATTTCTATAGCAGAATCTCCCAACCAATGTACTATAGTTACAGATATGTCAGGATACAGATCCCCTCAGCCTGCAGGGTGGTCATGCTAATAGGTAGCTTCCTCCACTTGCCCCGGTGTGCTAGCAACATTACCATCTTTTGTGTTTATCATGCCATTAAAAAAAAGTTAGGAGGCACTGCTGCTTAAATGTCTGAAGTTTTAAAGAGCAAAACCAAAACCAAATAGTTAACTCCCTAGACACTACCCTTCACCATAGTAATTCTGGCAGTAGCCTTTACTAGATAAATCAGCGATACTCCTTCCTTTCTCCCTCTGTATTTCTCCAACTGTGGCAACTATTGAGAACCCCAGGGAAAATTTCAGTAGCTAATGATGCCAATATTGCTGAGGTTTTTATATAAAGAAGTTTAAAAAAAAAACACTGACTTCATCCTATATGTTTCTTGCAACAACATACCATATCAACACCAACGAACCGTATTTCTTAGAACAAGAGTGATAAACACAGCAAGTAATTGGAAAAAAACTTATCTATCATCTCTATTTTTAGCAAAAACTAGAAATGGGGTAGGTGGACATGCTCTGGATTGGTAGCTTTGATTTCCCCCCATTATTAGTATAATCCACACCTATATAACATAAATACTATCAAATGATAAGACCTAGTTTTCATTCTGACCTTGTGATTTATCAGAATCGTCCTCCAGGTCACACGTGATTGGTTTCAAGGGCTGCTGTTCAGAATCCGGCTCCTGACAAAGAGAGTAACACAGAAAATACTTCAATTCAACACATATTTAATATCAATAGAGACTAGGACATGAGAATTAAATTTCTCAAGGAAGCCTAAAACGGTAGAAAGATTAAAGTGCTCAAAGAACATCTTCACACCCACATGCACAGGTGCATTACTATCATATTATACAACTGTAAAAACAAGTAGTCTTGCTGTTTAATGTCCTTGACAGTGACTGAGTTACCAAGAAAGAATTAACAGTGCACTTTATAGTGTAATTCTAGTAAAGAAGGAAAAATATTTGATGTTTAATGAAACAAGTTTCAGTTATTTAGAAAATTCACTGATGTGGAAAGATGCAAATACTAACAATCACATTAATTAAAACCAAAAATGTTCAAACTTTTAAAAGTTACTCCAACATCAGAAAGAATAATACTTTTAATGACCTTAAGGGAATATTCTCTAGAATAGGCATGCAGAGAAACATGTAAATTGATAGACACATTATGTAAACCTTCTCTGCCCGTTCAGAATTATTTCAAATTATTCCGATAGTAATGCAAATTCTAATACCAGCAACAGGGAATCGGAAGTTAAAAAGAAAAATCTATGCAATAAGTAATTCACCTTTACACTACAGTTCTCAGGACTAGAATGACATGAGCCCTGCTGCTGAAACGACGGGGATGGTGACGGTGATGGTTGTCTCTGTTCCTCTTGTTTTCGTTCATACACTCGAACTCGGGCACAAGTCATCATACTTTCAAAGTACAAGTAGACTGGATCCTTGTCTTCTTCCCGAATCTGTAAGTTTCATACAACAAAACATTCCAAACACTGGGGAAAAAAGTCTCTGGGACTCCCAAAGGAAAAGGATGTTTAATCTTTGCTTCTATTACAACACTTAAAAAATTTTAATGCAAACTTTAAAGTTAAATAGTACAATTACAGTTTGTATGTGCTGAATCTTGGGGCAGTTAGAAAGGATCTGGTTCTCTTTTAAGAAAATTCAGCACACCAGAGCAGCGCTTCTCAAATTATCTGCAGTGAAGGATAAATTTCTTAATTACCTGTCACACACAGACTGATACTTTTGTAAAATAAATTACCAGAAAAACAAAGGCCAGGTTTTTCAGTATTAGATTTAATAGATAAGAATTTCTCTATCAACTTGTAGCAAAAGTTTCTCAACATCTACTCTCATTTTCTATACTTATTTCATCACAGACTAATAACAAACAGTTATGGATCAGCACTGTACGAGACCACACTGAATAGCACTGCGCTAAAAGATCTTCTTCAATTTAATGGACTGTAAAGACTGAAATTGATTTATTAATAATCAGAAATGCTTAAGCTATTAACACAAGAGAAGCATCAGCTCTTTTACCTATCATCTTCACCTGGTCATGCAAATGTTATTTTAAATCTTGAACTTTACTGAATATAAAGAAATTTGCTTTAAAAAGATCACAGTTATTTTTTAAAGCTTCTTCCTAATGCTTTTCTAATAACGTATACTACATACATCTTAATCACTCAATATTCTATACTACAGGAATAAGAGTACCTTTTGCAAGTCATGTTTAAAAAAAAAGAAGGCCCATCTTTATATGATCCTTCTAAAGAGAGATTTGGCTATCTTTAAGAATTACAGTAATCCTGCACAGGTCCACTTACACACCTTTTCGTCAACAGTAAATACTACAGTACTACATGATCCTCGGTTGGCTGAATCCACACATGCAGAATTATGGACACAGAGGGTTAACTGTAACGTTATATGCAGATTTTTGACTGCACAGGGGGTCCACACTCTTAACCCCTGTGTTGTTCAAGGGTCAACCATACTACTATTCACTCTACTTTTAATGACATTTTTTTTAAATGCCATCAATTAAACTGACTAAATCAAAAAAGGAGATGGCTTGCAGACATATTACCTGAAAGCGCCATGATTCACAGAATACAAACCAAAAATCTGGTTGAAACCCATCAACTTTACAAATGATTTTTGTAACTTTCAATAAAAGATGTTAACGCCAAGCTTACCACAGGATTGGGTTTGGGAGTATATGCCCTTGCAGGTTTAATTCCAGTGAGCAGTTTGCCCTTTACAGTAGTAGATAAAACTTCTGGCTGAGGCAACAACAATGGTTTCATAGGCTCAATGACAGAAGGCGTTGGGATATAAACTGGCTCTGGATCTACTTCACCTTCTACTTTCACCCATAATGGGTAATGTCGAACAGGCTGTTCAGGCTCTGTTTCACATATAGCTTAACAAAAAGAAGGGTAAGATTGTTAGGTGCCTTTGGCAACAAAAGTTCACTGAGGCATTGCCAAAATAAAATATGCTCCCTCATAAAAAGCACCAACTCATTAAAATAATCAAACAGATGCCCCCTAAGAAATCCTTTAGTTGCCCTCATGCACCTTAATTCATTCATCTATTAACCAAATATTTGTTGAATACCTATTATAAATCAGATACTGTTTTAGACACTAGAGTGAAAACAGCTATGACTAAAACAAAGTTCTTGCCTTCACAGAGTTTATAATCCATAGGAGAAAACAAACTAATAAACATATAGTATCAAGTAAAAAGAGCACCACTGAACAATATAGCTGGGTAAATAAAGGATGAAGAGTTAACAGGAGATGCTGTTATATTTAACATGGTCAGAAGAGACTTCCTCTAGTATCTTGGAAAGGTAATCATTCTATACTACAGTTTTTAATTTTACAAACAACAAATATTTATTGAACCTTGCTATGTACAGACTCTAAGCACTTAATATGTTTTAAATCATGTAACTGTAACAATAGTCCTTGAGGTATTATTATTCCCATTTTGCAGAAGCTGAGGTTCAGGCAAGTCCATCAGTAAGAGGCAAAAGCAGGATCAAACCCAGTCAATCTGGCTCCAGAGCTGTTACTGTTGCCTTCTGATGACAAATTCTATTCAAAAGTTAGCCTGAACTCAGCACAGGAGCAAAAATACATTTAATACAAAAGCAATGAAACCTGACTGAGATGAAATCATACTATCAACAAGTTCCACAGAAAGGAAAACATGCATTGATTATTTAACCAAATTAAATGGAGGATCTAGGTTAATAGGCTACTGGCTTTATTCTTAAAGCAAACTGCCCAATCCCATCAAGAAGACAGAGAAGCAAACCTTGTTTTTGAATTTCAATGGTCAGTGCTCTGAGAGGATGTAGCTGACTCTGAACCAAAGACCCAAAATCTATGCCTAAAGTCATATAAAATGTGACTACGCAGCAACTGACACTTAATCAGATACTTAATCTTTTATAACAAAGCAGTATCCAAACTGCTACCTGATTTCGTAAGAAGTACATCTGCTCTAAACATTAAGACCCAACTAGTAAAGAACAATTTTGCCCAAAAGTCTCCTAAGGCTAACATCATTCAGAGCATAACCACAAAATACTGAATAAAGGCTTAAAATAGGGAGGAAAAAACCTTCAGAGCTAGAATGTGATTGGCCAATTAATTAGCAACTTAGCAGTCTCTGTTAACCAACTTTTATAACTTAGCTTATTTATCACATAATTCACAAAGGCTGGTTAAACCCTAGTATTCATTCATGTATTCAAATATTTAAATGTTCACTATGTATCAGACTTTGTAGATACAGTAACGAACAAAACTGACAAAAACCCCTGCCTTTATGGAGCTTACATTTAAAGTGGAGGGAAGAGGGTAAGACGGGCAATAAACAAGACAAATAATGAAAATATGTTGGATTTTGATAAGTGCTTACAAGAAAAAAACAAAGCAGAGAGAAGTAAATAGTATGTTTAGGGAGTATGTATTTTGAGGGGGAGTGTTGCAATTTTGAAAAGGGTAACCAGGGAGACTTCCCTGGCAGTCCAATAGTTAAGACTTTGCCTTCCAATGCAGGGGGTGCAGGTTCAATCCCTGGTCAGGGAACTATGATCCCACATGCCTCATGGCCAAAAAAAAAAACAAACCCAAAACATAAAACAGAAGCAATATTGTAGCAAATAAAGACTTAAAAAAAAAAAAAAGGTCCACATCAAAAAAAAAAAACTCTTAAAAGTAATAATAACAATAATAAAAGGGTAACCAGGGATGACCTTACAATGAAGGTGGTATATATAGAGCCTCTACCACTCATTTGGTTAAAGCTTTATTGTCTAGTTTTACAAATTATTTCACACACATATTAATTCTACTACAAAAATAAAAGCCTTCAGGCAGGTCAAGTACTATTGTCTTACCTCTCTTAATCATCTTTCAACGATTTTCTAAGCCTCCATAAACTAATGATTATAATAAGTAAAGAACCCTTCTCATCTTTTTTTTCTTTTGAAAATAATAGCTCCTTAATATACAATACTTAAGAAGAAACCCTCTTAAAATGTCTGAAAACATCCTAATTCCTCATAGGGAATCAAAGACAACTCTAAAGTTTCAATTGTGGATAAGAGGAAAAATGGTGGTTCCAATAAATAGGAGAGTTCACAAAACCTACTGAATTGAGTTCTGTTTAGGTCATGTAAGATGGGAGTGACAGCAACATAACCAAGTAGGGTAAGCAATAAAAATTAGGACTGTCATTGGCAGAGACTACACCAGAAGCCATGAAAATGGACAGACTCCACACAAGGGCCAAAACAACAGTCCACTTCCTCACACTACATTAGCCCACTGTCCACTTGATTCCTTTACACAGCCTGGAATACAAGATACAGCACTTCTCTGCTCCCCTCACAATACACTAGAGATACTCGTACCCCTTCATCTGAAACCCAGATAAAGGGAGCTACTAGCAAAGGCAGGATAAGGGGAGAACCAGAGTAGCATATATTCACAGAAACCAAGAACAGAAACCTGTTTCAAGAAAGAATTAATATCCCCTCATTTCTATACAAATGCCTTCTAAAATACACTATCTTCCCGAGGTTCCCTAGCGTTATCACTCTGTCTTCTGAGTTCTAGATAAGTCTTTTGTTCATGACACTTAAAACATATGGCACTTTTGTTATTGTGGCACTTAAAATTACTATAAATATATATCTACAGATTACCATATACCTGTTTCATCAAACTGACAGTAACCTTTTACAGATGGACTTAGAAACTAATTATCTATATCTTAACTCCTCTCATTTCTAGCAGTGCCCAGCATACTTGCTCCATAAATGAAGTGTTAGACATGCCAAGTCTGAGAAAACTGCTGTGCTAATAATCAGCATACTATATTCATCTCCCTCTTATTTTGAAGACATTTTCAACCTTTTTTTTTTTGTTGTTGTTGTTGTTGTTGTACGCGGGCCTCTCACTGTTGTGACCTCTCCCGTTGCAGAGCACAGGCTCCGGACGCGCAGGCTCAGCGGCCGTGGCTCAGGGGCCTAGCCGCTCCGAGGTATGTGGGATTTTCCTGGACCGGGTCACGAACCCGTGTCCCCTGCATCAGCAGGCGGACTCTCAACCACTGTGCCACCAGGGAAGCCCTATTTTCAACCTTTTTATTGTGAAATATAATACCCATAAAGTGCAGAAACAATGTATATACACCTTAATACATATTAACAAATATATTGTACAACCATGTAAACACTCTACAGATTAAGAAATGAAATACTGCCATAAACCCCAGAAGCCTTTGCATGCTTTTCTCAGTCATAATCCTTCCCACAAGGGACTCACTTAAATGACAGCCACCTCCCTGCTTTCCTTTTTTAACACCAAACATCACACCTATACATCATAGTTTAATTTTGCCTGCTTTTGGACTATACTACAAAGCTATAGTAATCAAGACAGTATGGTACTGGCACAAAAACAGAAATATAGATCAATGGAACACGATAGAAAGCCCAGATATAAATTCACACACATATGGTCACCTTATTTTTGATAAAGGAGGCAAAAATATGCAATGGAGAAAAGACAGCCTCTTCAATAAGTGGTGCTGGGAAAACTGGACAGCTACATGTGAAAGAATGAAATTAGAACACTCCCTAACACCATACACAAAAATAAACTCAAAATGGATTAAAGACCTAAATGTAAGGCCAGAAACTATAAAACTCTTAGAGAAAAACATAGGTAGAACACTCTTATGACATAAATCACAGCAAGATCCTTTTTGACCTGCCTCCTAGAGAAATGGAAATAAAAATAAACAAATGGGACCTAATGAAACTTAAAAGATTTTTCACAGCAAAGGAAACCATAAACAAGATGAAAAGACAACCCTCAGAATGGGAGAAAATGTTTGCAAATAAAGCAACTGACTAAGGATTAATCTCCAAAATTTACAAGCAGCTCATGCAGCTCAATATCAAAAAAACAAACAACCCAATCCAAAAATGGGCAGAAGACCTAAATAGACATTTCTCCAAAGAAGACATACAGATTGCCAACAAACACATGAAAAGGATGCTCAACATCACTAATCATTAGAGAAATACAAATCAAAACTACAATGAGGTATCACCTCCTACCAGTCAGAACGGCCATCATCAAAAAATCTACAAACAATAAATGCTGGAGAGGGTGTGGAGAAAAGGGAACCCTGTTGCACTGTTGGTGGGAATGTAAATTGATACAGCCACTATGGAAAACAGTATGGAGGTTTCTTAAAAAACTAAAAATAGAACTACCATATGACCCAGCAATCCCACTACTGGGCATATACCCTGAGAAAACCATAATTCAAAAAGAGTCATGTACCACAATGTTCACTGCAGCTCTATTTACAATAGCCAGGACATGGAAGCAACCTAAGTGTCCATCGATAGGTGAATGGATAAAGAAGATGTGGCACATATATACGATGGAATATTAGCCATAAAAAGAAACGAAACTGAGTAATTTGTAGTGAGGTGGATGGACCTAGAGTCTGCCATACAGAGTGAAGTAAGTCAGAAAGAGAAAAATACTGTATGCTAACACATATATATGGAATCTAAAAAAAAAAGGTTCTGAAGAACCTAGGAGCAGGACAGGAATAAAGACACAGACGTAGAGAATGGACTTGAGGACATGGGGAGGGGGAAGGGTAAGCTGGGACGAAGTGAGAGAGTGGCATGGACATAAATACACTACCAAATGTAAAACAGATAGCTAGTGGGAAGCAGCCGCATAGCACAGGGAGATCAGCTCAGGGAGATCAGCTCGGTGCTTTGCGACCACCTAGAGGGGTGGGATAGGGAGGGTGGGAGGGAGATGCAAGAGGGAAGGGATATGGGGATATATGTATAGCTGATTCACTTTG